TGGGGCCTTCTTTACAGAACCCGCTGACCTGTGTGGTTGGAGTCTCACCATCTGGGGCCCTGCGAGGGGTCAAGCAGAGGGGCTTAGTGGGGGGAACAGGCCCCAGGAAGGAAAAACGGGAGGCGAGTGGGGACGTGAGGGAAGCTGGAGAGGGGCCCGCGGTGCGTGGAGGGGGCGGTCGGGACACGAGAGGGGAGCAGCCTCTGAGCCATCTGGTCGGAGATGAGAGGGGTCCGGGGCCCCCGAGAAGTCTGCCGTGGGGACACCACCAGGAAGGATTGATGCCGACCCCCTGGACGCTAAGACTGTGGGGCGTGGGTGACCTTGACCTGGAAAGAGTACGCAGGGGAGAAGAGGGGGCTCTGTGCCGGCCTCGGGCTGAATCCATGGCGACAGGAGAGCAGCAGGAGCTCCCAGGGCAGCAAGACACCAGAGTCTGTGATCACAGAGCCGGGGTCTCCGGGGGGAGCAGAGACAGGGTCAGCAACTGCTGGGAGAGGAGCAAAGGTGGGCAAACGTCCTCCCGTGGGCAGCCTGGAGGTCACTGAGGACCTCAGCAAGACGTTGGGGACAGCGACGGCAGCAGAGGGCCGTGGACGGGCGGGGGAGGGGCGGGGGAGCCTGCGCTGGAGGCCAGCAGGTGAAGAAAAGGCACATCAGCGGGTGGCTCCAGGGGGCGCCAGCAGCACCGTGTCCTGTCCCAGAGGAACGCTGTCTCTCTCGGGGCCTTGTCATCTGTACTGTCCCCGTGCAGTCCCCGGGTGTCTCACACACGGCGGGAACTCAACAAATAGCATGTGCTCTTTGTCGTGAGCAAGGGAGCATCCCCCAAAGAAGTCACTCACACACGATTGTCTTTCCACGGTGCCGGTTGAGGAGGGGAGCCCCACGCAGGTTCCGCACAGACAGGGTCGCCTACACCACAGAAGCGAGCGGAGCAAGTGCCAGACGCGGGTCAGTGGTGGCCGTGCCCGGTGCGGTGGGCGTCCAGCAGGCTCCCACAGTGGCCGTGGTCCAGCCACGCTCGAGCGTGGGTGTCAGAGCCCTGAGTTCTTACAGCTCACAATGAGCAGAGGTCCCGCTCACATCAGCGTCCAGATGGAGTCCTTATTTAAGTGTCCAGACTTGCGGATTGGGGCGTCCCAGGCCCCTCCTGAGGGCGTCCCCCTCACACCCCATTGCCTCGGTGTCGTCAGCACCTGACAGAACTGCCGTGGGGGACAGCGATCCGTATCGGGGTGTCGGAGGTGCTTGTGCACTACATTTCTGATGACGGTAACAGTGATGATGACAGCGGTGAAGACAACGATGCAGAGCACAGATTCTCGAAGATAAGAACGTCACTGGTTCAGGGAGTAGGGCAGTTGGACCCCCCGAGACGTGTAACCCGTAACGTGTAACCCGTCTCTGGTCACCCCCTCTGTCTTTGTTGGTTCCTCTTTCTCTCTGTTCTTATTTCTTCTCGAGCTGTATGTACTCAGACCTCGGGGTGATTCCACCTGACCTCATGGCTTTTAAGTCTGCCTGCCAGAGACTTCCCTATGCACACCTCTCGCCCTGGCTGGTCCCCCAGGCGCCAGAGTTACATAGCCACCTGCCTCCCTGTCCTCTCCCAGTGGTCACCTCACCGACATTTCAAACCCAACGTGTCCACGACCAACCCCTGACCTTTCCCCTTTGGTTACGTAGGCCACAAAGCCCAGGTTTGCTCTCCTGCCTTCAGGAACGGTAACCACTCCCTCAGGAACCCTATCCAGCTGGTTTTCTCTTCAAAATAGATCCAGGGTGTGACGACCTCTCTCCATGTCTACTGTTAGCAGCAGGGCAAGAGCCAGCATCCCTGCCACCTGGGCAGCTGCCACCGTCCCTCTGCCCGGGCTCTCCGCTCTGCCCTGGGCCCTTCAATGTTATTAACCCCTAAGTCACATCAAGTCTCGCCTCTGCTCAGATCCCTCTAGGGGCTCCCCGTGTCTCTTAGAGGGCAAGGCCAACCCTCCCAATGACCTGCCTGACCTTCTATGATTGTGTCCCCACCGTCTCTCCGACCTCCGACGTCACTTCTGCCCCACCCCCCACACTCTGATCTAGACACAGTGGCTCCCTGGCTGTCCCCCAAGTGAACCAGTCCTGCTTAGATGCAGCACCTGGTTGCAATGTGTGGGTTCTTCCTACATCCCCAAGCAAGTCTCCGACACCAGCTGGGTGTCCAACTCAACTCGGTTCTGTTCCCAGCTACCTGGAGACAGCGTCAGAGCCCACAGGCTAAAAGCCGTCTCACCAGGCTGCCTCCACTCTCCAGCTCAGATGCAGACGGGACGTCCAGGCTGTCCCCTGCGCTTCTGACCTACAGGCTATCGATTGGAGGGTCCCACGACCCCCACCTCGGGCTCAATTAATGTGCTAGATTGGTTCAGAGAATCAGAGATGATTACTTATTAGATTACTGGTTTATCATAAAAGGTTGTGAGTCAGGAGCAGCCTGATGGGAAGATGCCGGGGGTAAGGTATGGGGACATATTGTCATTCTCCTCACCGGAAATTCCAAGAGTTTTAGGAGCTTTGGGCCAGGAATAGGACTAAGCCCATATATATATTTCGTATTATAAATCACAATATCATAGATGCTTCCACCATAGGCCTTTGCTCTAGTTGGTCCCTGTGTGAAACCCTCTTCCTTTGGCTGCCCATTTAGCTAAGTGTGTGTGTGTGTGTGTGTGTGTGTGTGTGTGTGTGGTGTCCCCCACCAAGTCTTTGCTCAAATCTTACCTCCTCGATGAGGCCAGCTCTGACACCCTACTTGATGGCCACACCTACATTCCAGATCTCCATTAGCCTGCTCCACTTTCCCCCCAAAGACTTATTTTCTTTTTTTATCCTCACCCAAGGACATTTTTTCCATTTTTTGTTCAGATAGAGTGGGAGGGAGAGAGAGAGAGAAACATTGAAGTGAAAGGGACATGTCAACTGGTTGCCACCCGCACGACCCAACCAGGGCCGGGGACAAACTGCAATTGAGGTACATGCCCTTAGCGGGAACCAAACCCGGGTCTCTCAGGACCGCAGGCCGACACTCTAACCGCTGAGCCAAACTGGCCAGGGCCAAACACTTATTTTCTAACACAATGAACAACGTATTGGTATGTTAACTGTTTACCATCCACCCAACCTTCCCCCACACACGAAAGTTCCACGCCGACAGAGAGTCCTTGTCTTGTTCAGTGTCCCTCACACAGGGCCTGCCTGGCACACACTAGGTGCTGAGCAGATACCTGAATGAAAGCTCTCTTGACTGACAGCTCTAGACTTGTAATTCTTGATGGTCAGCTCATTAAAATGTAGACTGCAAGCTTGCCTTACTGTTTCACAGTGAAAATTAAAGTGATTTATGACATGTCTTCCAAAAACAAGATATACAAGTGAGTTCTGTACATTTGTTTTTTTTAAAAAACTTTTTTAAAAAAAAAAAAATTCCCTATGAGCATTTCATATGGACTGATGGGGTTAGTCATACATTTGCCAAGACCAGCGAGCGAATGTGAACAGTGCCCCCTCATGGCTGAACATGGAGACAGCAACTTCCTGCACAGCTGGCCGGCTGGGGATGACTTTTAACCTCGGTGGCTGATTGGGGTTGTAAGATAAATGTTATCGATGACATTCCAAAATGGGTCAAATTCAACACTATTTTCAGGAGGCAAGTAAAAGAAGGGTAAAGTGTCAAAGCAAGAATTTTTAGGAGGACAGAGCCCACGCATTTCCATATTGTGAGGAGGATGTTGACAATTAGCGGGAAGCAGTAAAGGGAAATGTTAAGACAAGAAAATCCTAACTTGATAACATCCATCTGCTGCCCTTACAGCTGGAATCTGAGCAGGAATTTCCCATCTGTGCTTTATTCTCAGCTTTAATCTGACTCTGAATAAGACGCCTGCGTGCCCAGCGCACACCCAGTGTCCTCTGGGGCCAGAAGCTGTTCAAGGGCAGCGTCCTAAGTGCAAATGCCCACACTTGGGCCCAGAGGCTGCTCGTGAAACCAGCCAGCCTGCGGCGGGCAGCCGATCCCGCAGCTGGGTCCCAGGGCGCCTGGCATTTCAGAGCTGAGGCCTTAGCTGGGCCCCGCCGCTCCAACAGACCCAAGCAGAACTCCAGGTCCCAGGCCAGCTCCACCGGAAGCCCTGCTGTCTGCCGCAGGGCCCTCCGCGAGTCCCGCGTCTGGGGACGCCACCGCTCGCCACCGGGAGCTACGCTCGCTACCCTCCACTCTCCTTTGATTCTCAAATGGACCTGCGAGCGTCTGGATGGACGATGGCCCCCGCGGAATAGGTGGGGAAACTGAGGCACTGGGCCAGAAGGGCACTTGCCCACGGCCATGTGGCCCGTTAGTGCAGAGCGAAGACTGAGAACCAAGGCGGAGCCAAGCCCGAAGCCCACGCTCCTTCCACTTCCCCGCTGCCTCCACATCACCCCCCAGCCTCTGGGGCTATAAATAGTGGGGAGGCGGGTGCGTGAGCAAGGTTAGCCAGGCCTTCGGCACAGACACTGACATCGCCAGCCTGGCCTAGCCAGGGCCCTCTCCCCTTGGCCTCAACAGAACCCAGGCCCAGGCAGGCCTCAGCTTATCACCAGCTCCACTCTCCCTGGCTATATTTAGCTCTGGACCTCAAAGAGAAAGGTGTGGGCCAGCCCTGCGACACTGCGCCCCAGGCCAGGCGGCTGTGCGCAGAGAGGGAGGGTTGTCTGCCTCGGCCCCTCCCGGGGCTGCTGTGCTCCTTCCCTAGCACCTGCGGGGTCTGTCCTCCTCGCTCCCCGAGCGAGGGGCCCTGGCTGCTTTATCAACGTATCTGCAGCAGCCGGCAGTGTCAACACACCGCGTGGGCCTGTGGCTCCATACTGCTCGAAGTTCATGTCCTAGAAATCGGGACATCAAAAACAGAGGCTCACAAATTTGCAGAGGGATACCTTGTAAAACCAAATGCATGGCACCCTGTTAAATAGTCAAGTTTATTCAAGGAATGGACACGAGTTTCCATCACCCTGCCCCTTCTCTTCCCTCCAGGAGATGTGGCACGCAGGCTGTGGGGGAGAGGGACAGAGAGGAGGAACATCAAGTCCCAGAGGGCGGCTCTGTGCGCCACGCAGCAGCCACCCAGTGTGCGACGGCTCTCGCAGTCCTTGCGTCCTGATGACAGGCCTCCCTTGCTCTGCTCGCCCTTTACACGGCAGCCACCTGCAAAACCTGGGCAGCTGCCTCCATCCGACCTGCTCAGCAACTGAAGCGGACGGGGGAGGTGGAGCCGTGGGCAGCCTGGGCCGGAGCGCAGAAGCCTGGCTGGATCCTGACACCAGAGCTCAAGGGCATCCGCTGGCGGCTCTCGGGTCTCATAAGAATGGAAAGAGCCGCTTTTTTACAATGTAGAGAACCGTGGCAAGAAAAAGGGCCAGGGCGAGGAAAATGAGAAGCTTGTCCGTCAGCTCGCGGCGATTGTATTTTGTGATGAGCTTCCGCCCCAGCTGGATGGTCCCCGACATGGACTTAAACTCTTCGTTGGCATCCAGGATAGTCCGGGAAGAGTTGACTGAAACATAAGAGGGAGGGAGCCTGACTCAGACCGCAGAGCAGAGAATCCGAAGATGGCCCTGCTGGCCGGGTGCCCAGCACGCGTGCTCTCCGGAGCCCGCTCCGAGCCAGAGGCAGAGACTGAACAGAGAGGACCAGGGTGGAGAGCAGGGACAAACGAGGGCCGGCACTCCTGGGCCCCGTCCAGCTCAGACTGCTGTGGTTCGTTCCCACACGGCACAGGGCCACAGCCAGGCGTCCTCCGGTGCAGGGACCACCAGGGAAAGGGCAGAAGACGGTTCTTCCAAACCGCCAACCTCGGCTTCCTGAAGCAGGCGGGCCGCTGGGCCGCCAGCCACAGAACGAATCCGGTGACCGCGCACGGGCCCTGGGAGGTCTCTATGGGGCAGAAGCTGAAAGGCCCCCTCCAGGACACCTGGCGGCCAGGTCTGCTCTGCGGGATCACGAAAGGCTGGGCTGGGCCCCGCCACCAGCCCTCACCCAAGCAGGCCCCTCGGTGCCGGGACATGGACACCTGTGCTTGGGCTCCGAGTGAGGCCTAAGGGAGGCGCGTGTCCCAGCAGGCATCTGCCTGGGTGTCAACATTACTTCTGAGTGTGGGTGCCCGGGCCTGACACTTGGGGAAGGGGCACCTGGCCAGACTCCGGAACAAGGTGAAACAAGACATCATCGGAACATCCACAGAAGGAAATGTGTCATTAAGTAGAAAGCAAGGCGCTAGAGGTACGTGAGATGCTTTCATTTATGTATGAAAGAGGGGTGGATGGCGTTTACTCTGCTTATGCCGTCCACTCCTGGAGATCTCAGGAGGATTTAAAAGAAATGGTAACAGTGGTGGACTCTGGGGGGAGAGCCGGAGGTCGGGGGTCAGGGTAGTCAGAGGGGCCGTCTTTCTGTTTCCCTCTCGCACCGTCTAAGGCCGTGTAGTCCAACATGGCAGCCACTAGGCACACGAGGCACCTGGGCCTGTAAACCGTGGCCAACCAACTGCCACGTATAAAATCGCCACATGGTTTCAAAGACTTCGTATAAAGAAAAAAGGAATGTAAAACAACTTAATAATTTTTAATGTGAACTGCATATGGAAATGGTGATATTTTACAATGCATTATTAAATTAATTTCATGCCTCGTTTTCCCTTTTTGGACGTGCCTCCTGGAAACAGAAAGCGACGTACATACGGCTCACATGGAGTCTTTCGAACCTGCTGGCCTGGAGGGCCTTTCCTTCACCATGTAACTTACCTCTTCACCAAATTCCGAGGTAATAAGTAAATACAAGGAATTACTACAAGACACAGAAACGCCCTTCAGAAAAGGCAGATTAGCCCTGGCCGGTTTGGCTCAGCGGTTAGAGCGTCGGCCTGCGGTCCAGAGAGACCCGGGTTCGGTTCCCGCTAAGGGCATGTACCTCGGTTGCAGTTTGTCCCCGGCCCTGGTTGGTCGTGCGGGTGGCAGCCACTCGATGTGTTCCTTTCACATTGATGTTTCTCTCTCTCTCTCTTCCTCTCTCTCCCTCCCATTCTACCTGAACACAAAAATGGAAAAATGTCCTCGGGTGAGGATTAAAAAAAATAAAAAATTAAAAAATTAAAAAATTAAAAAAAAAAAGAAAAGGCAGATTAGGGGAGAAACGAACCCTGACGTAGGAAGACCTCTCTCAGCTGCTCTCTCCATACCCCCACTTTTCAGACACCCAAGTAACAACCTGTTAGTAAAGACCTAACAGGCCTTTCTTTGTAAACTTTCTGTATGGAGAATTTACAGCATTTCAAAAGTAGATAGAATAGTATGAAATACCATGTGCCCATTACCCTACCCTAGGACCACCAGCGCTCGGGCAACCCTGTCCCCTTGCTCCCCCCACCAGCAAATTCCAGACATCGTATCCCTAACAGGCTTTTAAAATAAAAATGGGCTCTAATTGGCTTTTAAATCGAGCTGAATTCGTGAGCCAGGAGATTAAGAACTGCAGTCCTTTTTCAGCAGCTCTCTCTCCTACAAAATGTGCCCGAGAACAGTCTTCAACACCCCAGAAACCACCAGTGTCTGTGTTCCCGTCCCACCACCCAAACACATCGCCTGCTTCTCATACATGTGTTGGGGGCGGGTGTCTGTCACCTTCACCTGAGCAGAAAGCCTGACGCAGGCCAGATGCCTCCATCTCACGTCCTCCAGGACCGCTCCCAAGGCTCAGACCGTGCCCGCAGAGCACACTGAGATGAGGGGACCGGCTGGCTCCAAGCCTAAATGCCCAGGTCAGTTCCAAACACAGGGCGTGACCTTAGGGACAAGCTGCTGGCTCTCCTATTGCTTCTGCCTGTGTGAACAGTGTACTGAACACAAAACGTGGTCAAAACCACACACGCTTTTTAGAGATGATACTGGTGCTGTGGTTTCGGTTTTCTTCTTTGGTGTTTCTGTTTCAAGAGTATCTTAGAGAGACACACTGAGATATTTATGGAGGATGGCTAGGATCTGCTTCAAAATCATCCAGATGGGGGCACAGTCAGGACAGAGTTGAAACGAGATTGGCTTGAGTTGACAACTGTTGCATCAGCCTGTGGGTTCATGTACCATGCTCTCTACTTCTGTTTCTGTGAAATCTTCCCAAAGTGTCTCAAGGAGTAAACCCTCTTGTCTTCCTACGTGCAGGGCCCAGAGGGGGCCCTTCCCCTCTCGTCACAGGGAGAGGCCGTGGGAAAGCTGCTGGAGAGGCCCCCGTGGTCTCAAGCAGCCTCTTCTGCGGCCTCTGACTGTATCTTATAAAAGAAGCTCATAGTAAAAACCAAACCAGGGTGCCCGGCCGGAGTGGCTCGGTGGTTGAGCATCAACCCATGCACCAAGAGGTCACAGTTTCGATCCCCGGTCAGGGCACATGCCCAGGTTGTGGGCCAAATCCCCAGTGGGGGTCATGCAGGAGGCGGCCAATCAATGTTCTTTCTCATTGATGTTTCTATCTCTCTGTCCCTCAATTTAAAATCAATAAAGGAAAAAAAACACACACACACCGTGGAGAGTGTAACTGTAAGCTGGCCGCCAATCACTGAAGCTCTGGGCAAGGTTCCCAGAGCGGCCTGGCCCAGTCGGTCCCGAGAGTGCTCCATAAAGAACAGACCCGCGGGCCCGCCCCAACCTGCTTGCTGGCACCCACACTGCAGATCTCCTGCTTTTCACACGAGTGCAGTGCTCCGCTGAGGAGACCTTTCAGTGCGGCTGCACGACTATAGAAACCAAAGAGCAATAGGCCAGCGTATCTCACTCGGGGCAAAATCACACTGTCGTGGAAGTGAGAAGCCACCAAGTCAGGAAGCCTGGGTGGGACGCAGAGGTGGAGGAGCCGGGGGCAGGTGCCGGGCCAAGGACTCCGGAGCCGGGCCCCCGGGAGAGGCTCCCCACTGCAGGCCCCGCTTTACCTAGCGTCTGCATGGCTTCCTCGCTCTGCTGCACCTGCTGGGACATCATCCTGCTGATCCCCATGAGGTTCTCCGTGATGCTGCTGGACGTCTGCGCCAGACTCTCCTTGGTGGTTTTCCTAGAAGTGCGGAGGAGGAGGAGGAATGTCAGCAAAAGCCTGGCTGCAAGACAGCCCCAGTGCAAAGGAGGCCCCATGTTTTAATCTACCAAACTGAGACATGTTTAAATGTTCAGGGGCAGAGCTGCCAAGGGCGCGCTGAGCCCACACTGAGAGGCTACTAGCAGGGACGTCCACTGGCGCTCCTCCTGTAAGAGAGAGATACCTTTGCCTCAAGAGGTCTCCTCCCTTGAGCAGCTCTGCTTTCTCTAGATTGTCGATTGCGATTTTGCAAGTGAGATTCGCTTTCCTCCACGACGTCTGATTGCTGGAATCAGAAGGGGTGTGCGTGAGTTTCTGCTGACTCTGCTAGGCTGACAGTTCAAGTCACAGCAGTTCTTCCTTCCAGCAGGAAGTGGTGGGGAAGTGCACCCAGGGGTGGCCCATGGAGTCCAACCCCACCTCCCGCTGCTTCCTCCTCCTGGTTGCCCTAGCAACTGCTCCAGCTCAGGCCCAGGACCCTCGTCTGCACCCTGGCCACCTCTGGGATGTTCTCTTACTGCCCACACTATCCCCCCGCCGGGCAGCCCGAGGGAGCAGTCTGGCCAAGGCACGGCTTTGTATGCAGCCCGTACGGCTCCAGACTTCAGGGTGACCTCCGAACCCCGAGCTGAGCACACGAGGCCCGGCTCCGCCCAGCCCTCCCTGTGTGCACTGCTCTGCCCTGTGTGCAGCTGGCTCTGCTCCCCGAGACCGTGCCTTCCCCGTGTCTGTGCCACCAGCAGCTACAACAGCAGTCTCTGGCCCAGCAGCTGTTCAGCAAGTATATGTTGTAAGAAGTAGAAAAATCACAAAAAGGCAGTTTTCCTCAACATCTCTTCAAGGTCTGCTGTTCTTTATGCACCACAGACAGACCTCGATGACACAAGCACACTGCACCAGCAGGCCTGGTGGGATGTGATTTATTTACATGCTTGAACCCCTCTCCCTGGGAGGGACGACTCTGATTTGGTGAGCAGCAGCCTAGAGTTAGCAGGCAGTCTTTGCTGATGGACTAGAAAAAGTGAATTGGGTCTCTCGGAGAACCAAGCTCATGGTCTAGAGCTCGTAGGTACCGGGCTCACACCCACTGCACTAACCCTGAAATGCTGCAAGTCAAGCAGAATACGTGAACTGGCGGCGGTTTTCTACCTGCTGAGCCCTGACGCCTGCACAGCGGGCCATGCCATTTCACACCTAATACTGAAAAAGAACCAGTGGCCTTTTCAAACTGTCAGCGACGCACAAATGAACGAGCAGCAGTGCCTGCCCTGGAGGGCTCACATATGCTGGGGAGGAGGACAAGCAAGCCAATATTTACTGTTCAGTGTGACAAGCACGGGGACCCAGGCAGGTACAGCCAGTGCTTCCACACACAATCACCACAGCCTTGACTTACTGCTTTCTCTCCTCTGCCCTCGAACTCCCCAGCATGAATGGCCATTCTCAACTTCTCACCCTGCACAGCTGATTTTGTCCGGCATAACTTGACATATTTTATACGAGGGGTCTCTTTACTCAGTGTTTATAATCTGTGTGCCTTTGGTGGCCCTGGGAAGCAAAAGTCATCATGACACCAAGTGTCACTACTGAGCCAAGCACTTGAGCACTGCTTGGACCAGCCTCCAGCACACCCAAGGCTTTGTCCGCCCGTCTCCTCCTGATTGCTGGGTGTCACAAACACAGCTGGCTACCAGCTGAGAAGATGCTGGAGCATCACTTAAATCAGAAGCAAAGCCACAGACAAACACAGATGTGGCAGAGTTCAACCAAGTCCCAAGCTCTGTTAAAGCTCCTCCTCCGGTGGCCCAGCAGGAGCTTTAACAGAGAATGATCTGGCTACCAAAAGGCTGGGGAAGGTGATGGAGTCCTCAAATATTTTTGCAATAAAAACCCTCTTATGATTATGGTGTAAAAGTCAAATGTGAAGGGACAGGTAATGTTTCAGACAATTTTGTTGGAAAAATCCCCCAATTCAACACCAAGAAATAGCACATACCTTCAATGACATAATAGAGCATTAGCCCACAGACACAATAACCTCAATTTCAACATAATATAAGCTTATTTATATTGTTGTTTCACTTTTTAAGATAAAGTCCCATTCAAATTTTCTAAATTTTAAACCATCTTAAATAGGTTCACTTTCAGTAGACTTTTTCTGATACCAGTTCTCCTTAGATAAAAAGGACCTATATTACAATAGCAACCATTTTTGTTTGGTTTTGTTTTAAACATATAAAATACAGTGTAACATCGAACGTGCTTTTGTAAATTATGCCCGGGTTCACCTACCCAACAGCCCTGCTTGCCCTCCTCTTTGGGAATTACCGACCTAAAAAGAATCTTCAGTCCGTGTATAAATGACACGATTAAGTCGTTAAACCCAGGTGTCTTAGACAAGCCCAGGGCCGAGTCTCCCAGGGAGCACATGCCCCAGCAGAGGCCACTGGCGGGAGGCCAGGCCACCTACCTGAGCATCTGTTTCCTATGGTTCTCCACCTCCTGGAGCAGACGCTGCTTGTCCGACTCTTTGTCTTGCTCTTTAGCCGACTGCTCAAGATCCTATGGGGGGAACAGCTCTATATAAAAATGCTTTCAAAGCCAATACAAAACCCAGAGAGTACTTCTATTTCTACCAGGTCATAAACAGCACTTGAAAACTCTCCTAGAGCAAGAATGCCAGGTAACACAAAACGAACACCCTTCTAAATACACAGCTGAGTCTGTAAGAAAATAAGGACCATCCCAAGACCCCAAAGTGAAGAGGAAACCAAGAACCAGCGCAGCCAGCCTGTGAGTGATGTGTGGTTGCCCCGGAGTGGAAGATGCACTCCCGCAATGCAGTGCATGCCTGACAAGAAAAGAAACAAACTCAACAGGAGGCTGACCCCGCTCTTAGACATCATGGGAATATAAAAAACTGCATACTTCCAAAACTGCCCTTGAAAATCCCTTTGCAACGCAACACGCAGGACACACACATATTGTTTCTGAGCGCCCAAACAGCCAGTTTTGCCACCAGCTTTGGAACAGACTATCTTGTGTTAAGCAACGACAGTTGTTGGCTGGGGCCACGCAATACGAAGCACAAGGCTTTATACCCCAGCACCACATGCAGGGAGACCAAGTGCCCAACAACTACCCAGAGCTGGGCAGATCCCTGCCACCTATGTCACCCTCCCTGAAGGCACAGCAGCAGAAACACCAACACTATCCAAACGGTACTTCTTGCTGTTGTTTTTGAGATGGCACTTATACCGGAGTCAAAGTCAGGAGCATTGTATGTGCGTGTGATGTGACTACGAAACAGAAGGAAGAGGCTGGGCAAAGCGACAGCCTGAAAAAAATAATCCAGGGGACACTGATGATGGATTGGGATGGGTTGGAGAGAGCGGGAGAGAAAAGAAAGCAGTTCAAGCGACCTCAGAGTTTTTAAGTTGGAAAATTCCAAGGACAACGGTGTCCCTGCCACCCACTTAACACAGCTGGCAGTGCTCTGCATGCCAAGGTTCCTAGTTTTAACCTGGAGATCAGGTTGGTACAGTTATCCTCACTGTCTAAACGTCTGCTGAAGAACCTGGGCAGCTCTCAGGCAGAGGTCAGTCCGAGGACCGGGCTCTCTTCCTTGTTCCCTATTCTTAGCATCTGGTTCTGCAGCTGCTCACCTGGATTCTGTGCCGCAACTCTTGAAACTTCTCTTTTACTTTAGTATTCAGTTCAGTAAGTGCGCTCAGTGGTCCTGAACAATCTCGAATATCCTAGGAGACAATGAAGACATGATGGGGCCTTTCACAAGGCAATGAAATGACACCACCTGTACAGTGTGAGCTGGCTTACACCACAACTAAGGTTGGCCCACTGACTGTAATTCATCCTGATCTGTGCAGTTTACCTCTGCAACACAAGCAAACACATTGTTATTTACACTTTCCTCATCCTTCTTTCAATTAATCTTGAATAGGTAACATAAAAGCAGAGAGAGAAACGACTATCTTGACTTATTAGTTCCTTAAGTTTAACAAAACACCACATGTCGAGTATGAAAGCCTTCAAGTAGCTCGTGTGTTCAACTAAAATGGAAATCCAAAACGGATACTACTAACTTTAGATCTTTGAAAACCAGGATGCCAAATTCCTGGCACCATATGACAAAATTAACTTCAATCTGATGTCACAAACCATCTATTAGAAATCACAGTGTTTATAGACTTATCCGAGGATAGGTGTAGAATCTGTTTCTGGACAGTCAGGATTATTGGAGGCAGGTTTTAGAGTAGGCTATGTGCTTCGGATTCTGGCTGTGTATTTATTAGCTGTGCAACCTCGGGAAAAAAAATCACTTGAGTTCTGTGCCTCAGTTTCCTCATCACATCACCTCCCTTGTAGACCACGTATGTATGTAAAGCACTTAGCAGATGAGCTGAAACACAGTAAGAGTGCAATGAATATAGCGGTAATCAATCTTTCTGATTAGATTTTAGAACTGACCAGACGTTTTGTAGCTTACACACGGCAGAAGGGAAGTTCAAGAATACATGTTCGCATTGTTCCCTCACTTGTTGTCTGGTTTACTCATTAAATCACACTTCCTGGACCCACAGGATAAACCACGAATGAGGTTCATTTTGCATCTGGTTTCCGTGCGGCCTCTACTTTCCTTCACTTTTGGCCCCAGCTAGCTGCAAACTCTGAATTTACATCTAACGTTTAGTAACATTTGTTGGAAATAGAAACGATTTGCCTAAAACCACGGTTTAAAACTCTTGGTTTCTCTTTGCTGAACCTAAGGAACCAGTTCTACATTCCCGACTCCTGCCTATGCCCACTGGCGTATTGCACTACTGCCTTCTACCCTCAAGTGGCCTGAGCCCCTTCTCCGGGCTGGCTTTCCCCGTCCGGGTCCCAGCTCTGCCACCCTCGCCTTCAGATGCATGCCCTGCCCCTCTACTCGATTCCTCGTTGGCAAAACCACAACCACGGTCCAGGTGCCGTTCGCTTCACGCGGTGCCTCCCCCGCCAGGTGGCCTTGGGTGCCACGGGCACCAGGCGCAGCGGCGCCCCCCAGCAGGGGGCGGGGCGGACGCCTGCAGAACGCGCCCGACGCCGGGGACGGCGGCCGGGGGCGGGGCTCGGCAGGGGGGCAGGTGCCTTGGGAGGTGGTCAGAGCACGGCGACGGCAGGGGTCCGTATGGGAGAGGCCAGCGGGCCACAGAGGGGAGCCTGGTCAGGGGCAAGGGACATGGGGGTGGCCCGGAAAAGGGAGAGCCAGCGGCACCTGGATGGAGGCTCGAGACCAACAGTCCCGGGGAAGGGACCAAAGCGGGCAGAGCGGCGGGGGCCGGCCGCAGAGCCGGGCCAGCGCCAGGGAGACCTGCCGAGCGGGGGGAGCTGGGGAGTGAGCCCGCGGAGCTCACAGGCCGCGGGGCTCGGGTTAGGCAGCTGGCGCCCAGCAGCGGCCCTGGAATCAGTACCTGGATCAGCGCCTTCACCTCCAGGTCGAATTTGACAATCTCTTGGTTGCAAATCCGGACGTGGACATCTTGGGCAGCCGCCATGTTGGAGACGCCGGCTACGGGCAGCGGCGAGGGCCAAGTTCAAACGCGTTTTTGTGCCGCCGGGTCTTGAGACAGCGCCCCCTAGAGACCGGCCCGAGGCGGCGCCGAATCGTGGGGACTTCCTTCCACACGTGGGGGGAGATCGGCCTCGCTTCTTCGTGTGATCCTGAAAAATCGGGGAGGAAGAGAAGGGGGGATATCAAGAACGCTTTCGTGGTGGCCTCGCCCCATCTTCCGCCGAACACCCACTCTAATGATTACAGAGTTTTCGCACAGAGAAGGAAAAGAAAGACTGGAAGACAAGGCTCAATTGGGATGTCTCTGGAAGATGGCATTGACAATTTGTATATTTCTTGAAGCCTTCTTGCATGCTTCATATTTTACAGTGAACCTACATCACGTCTCTGAGCCTCGGTCCCCTCAGAGGCCACCTGGTGGCGGTGGCAAGCACGGGGCTGCTGCAGGATTCAATGAGACGAGACGCACCCAGCACTGTGGAAGGTGGCCTCGGGGCCGAGCGCAGTGCTCACTGGCTGCTGTTATTATATTACTGACATTTTTGGAGCACTTCCTATGTGCCAGGCACGTGTACTAAGAGCTATACGTGCATCATCTCACTTAACTCTCACAACAGCCCTATGAGATAGAATTATTCGTATTTTACATGCGAGGAAGCCCGCGCAGGGAATGACGACTTGCCCGGTGCAAATGGGATTGCCAGGTCCAAGGACTTGTGCATTTAACAATGGTGATCCATGCTACGAAACTGCTCTTCACAGAGGCTGTATCTGTGGGAGTTCACACACCCACCAGCATGTGGTGCAGTGCCTGCTTCCCACTCCGCAGCGTGGGGTGTTAAACACTGGGATGTTTGCCAACCTGAGGAAGTGAAAACTGCCATTTTAAAATGTGCATTTCTCTGATCATGAATGAGGTTGAGAACTAGTATATTCTGCTCATTTCTCTATTGGGATGTTGGTCTTTTTCCTGTCAATTCCCAGGAGCTCTTTATATGTGAGGAGGATTAGCCCTTAGCCATGAGCTTTTTTCTTTGTATATAGAATTTTGAGTTGGCTTAGTGCTTTGTGGCCTTTTTTATTTTTTACTTAACTTTTGTCTCACATCGAATTTACCAGTCTTCATTTATGCCTCCTGGATTTGCAATCCAAATTAGGAAGGCCTTTTCCCACCAATAAGAATGGTTTGTATGGTTTCTTCTTCTTTACATTTAGATCTTTACTCATTTTGAAATATATGATGAGTTATGGTGTGAGATACAGAGCCAACTTGACTTTTTCCAGAGGGTTACCCAGCTTTTCCAACACAGTTTTCTGAAGAATCCATCTTTTGCCTCATTTACCATACTAAATTCTCATGTTTACATGTATTTCTATTCTGTTGGCCTATCAACTCATTCATGCACCAAAATGACATTTTTTATTAGTTTTATGTGTCTTAATACCTGTTGGGGATTCAACACCTGCCGCTCCCCCCCCCTCCCCCCAGCATTTCCCATCTATTGTTTTTTTCCCAGGTGAATTTAGGCTTAAAGTTCTTTTTAACCATATGGGTAGGTCCTTACTGGGATGGCATTACATTTTTTATTTAATGTAAGAGGACTGACAGCTTTGTGTTACTGACTGCTCCTGTTCAAGAACTTGGACTCTTTTTGCCTTTGTTCAAGTTTTCTGTATCCTTCATAGTACTTTCAAGATTTCTTTCGACCTTGTACATTTTCTGTTAATTCCTGGAAATGTTCTTTTAAGATGAACTTTTGAAAGAAGTGGAGATTGACATCTTTCAGGTCAAACGTTCCGGATCCTCAAACAGAAGCTCCCCATGTAGGACAGTGAAAGCAGCCTGGAGTCGGCAGGCAGCAGATGTGCTCACATGACCTCGGGCCCCTTTCACATCCTGTTTCTTGCTGGAAATTCCTGTGCAATCGACAGTCCCCAATTGCCTCTCTCTGCAATTAAAGAAGAAAATACAGCTCCCCTTTCCTCTGCTCTTCGCCACTAATAAAGTGACCCAATTCTTAGCCCGCCAGCAGCCACCTTTGAGGGATAGGTATGCAATTTGGTGACCCACACTCCCAGTCGAACTGCCGGCGTTGTTTTGTTCCCATGGCCTGGTTCCTACATCTGCTGGGTTTTGGCTTTAGTTCTTTCTGGTTTTCAGATTCTAAGCCCTTTATTTTCCTCCTAAACAGACATCCATCTCAACAGTGCCTGTGACTCGGCCTGGTCCCTTGGAGATGAGTGTGAACTGTCTCTGAGCACAGCAAGCCGACTGGAGTTTGAATGGAGCTCCATAGCACATCAGCTGGGTCTGGAGCGAGTCCCCTCATCGAAGTCTAGTCTGAAGACTACCCACCTCACTGGGCCACTGACAGCACCTAGCAGGGGCTTCATGAATGCCACCCTCGCCTTCTAGGACTTTCTAACTCCTTCTTGCTGTTCTGAACCTTCCAGTATTTCCCGACTAGTGTTTTCCTTTGTGGCTAAGGAGCTCTCCTGTCGTGAATCAGCGTCGGTGAACACACACCTAACTGCGGGCCACTCAGAGAAGGTGTAGTTTTCTAAGAACTGTACTGACCTGGCTCACCCAGCTCCTTCACGAACCCGGGCCATGCCAGAGGCTCCTGTGAGGAGTGGTCTTGAGAGGTCAAGTCCCGGAGCAGAATGAGTCCACGCGAGGTCATGTCCACTTTGCTTCCTGACAGTCTCAGTGTCACTCAGCTGAAGCAAAAAGGGCTTCTTCGAGGGTCCAGGGATGTCAGGGACACAAGCCTGTCAGTTCTTCTCTAACACACCCCGCTGCACACGGCACCTGGGTCCTCGCCAATACTTGGGTGATTACATGCCTAGAGCCCGCGGTACATGGAACAACTCCTGTGTCATGCTGCCATCCTGTTCACAGCCGCCTCCCCCGGGGGACTGCAAGTTCCTGGAGGTCTCCTGAATGTCCTTCGAGCCCAGGACCTAGCGCAAGTCCTAGCTGAGGGAACCCACGGCTACGGGGTGTTCCCTCCATCCCCTGACTTAGGCTTGATGTAGTCTTGCTTAGAATTATTAAGCATACAAATGTTCGAGTGAAGAGAGATTCAAAGTATTTTATTACAGAGAAACCAGTTGCCCAAAGAATAAAAGAGGAGAAATCAGTATAACTTAAACTTATGTTCTAAGCTATGAAGAATGCAAATGTTTATCAATTAATAATTCAACATAAGGGCTAATTTCACTCAAGTTCCCCGCGGTCTTTAGTTGGGAATGTCTTTGAAGTGGGTTATCCTGAGAAGTAGGTGGTTACCTTGGTAAGCAACAGAAAAGCCACAGAGACAGAAAGGGCGAAAACATGAGCCAAACAATTCAAAACCTTTTCTTTTCATCTTTTTTTATTTTAAATTACAAAGGATGTTGCATACACGGATGGTTCTGTATCTGACTAGAAGTGCTGAGGGGTTGGAAGGTGACAGAAAACAAAGGCAACATTTGAATTGCCTTTTCTTCTGAAAAGAAAAACTGCACAACTATTAACCAACATTTAATAGAATAATTTTTAAACAGCTCATGCGTCAACAAGATAAAACTCTTTCTAGACAAAAGACAAGACAGAATCCAATAAAAAGTTTCATAGCTCCAGTTGTGGGGGTCGGGGGACAAAACTACAGAATATGATAGCATTACAAACAGGATCCTACGCAGCTATGCAAGAGAGGTTGCCACATTGTATGAACAAATGCTTTGAATTCTTGCCCTTCCGCTCTTTTGTGACTTCTTATGCACGGTCAGCCCTAGCATCACTGTTAACCACAAATGCTAAGTTACAGGACAAATCCTAGGGAAGGAAGGTAAAAAAGGCAGGCAGTGGAATACAGTGTCATAAAAATGTGCTGGGAAGGCAGATACAGTACACACATACACATTTCTGTTATTTGGTTCTGGAAAAAAAAAAAAAAAAAAGGGCGAAGGGCAAGACACAGTAATCAGTCCCGCTCCCATCCACCCAGAATGTAATTAACTACACCATTGTGTTTACATTGTTATGAAAGAGGCAAACCTAGTTCACCTAGAGCTTGGCACTCTGAAATACCCAACTCTAATGTTTCGCAGTAGTCACTGGTAAGTCTCAGAAATACTATTTAAAGGTAGTTTTAAGGTTCTATTCCCTCACTACTACCCCCAAACCTCTCTTTTCTAAACAAAAATGGCAATTTGGCAGAATTCAGTTCCTAGGTGTAATTTCTACAACTTCAGTCAGTTTACTAAGCATGAGGATTATGCTTCAACACATAACCCCACTCGCCTATGGAAGTGTTAAACTTTCAGTAGTACGTTTCATCATCTTTCCCCAACATGCTTATTCCTTAAAACGAAACAACCATCCCTACAGTTGACATTCATTGTTACATCCCAATGTGTTTGAAATATTTAAAAAAATGGAGTCATCTTCTCATAATGCCCTTATTAAGATTACAAAGATTACAAAAGAATCCACAAGTATTGCGGCACTGTGTGAGACTTATGTGTCATGATTCAAGGGAAGAACAAGACTGGAGTTCGGTGCAAAGTTGTGGAAATGGCCTCAGTTCCATGGGAAATGGTATTCCACAATAGACTTCACTAGAAGAATAATCGAAACCTTTTACTTTAACACTGAAAGCATAATTCAATGCATTCTCAAAATTCAAGTTTCAAGATTTGGAGAGATGCTAACATTCTGTTACATAATGAACTAGAAAATACTTAAACAGAATTTCAGGAAGACTATATAGAGAAAGGGAACATAAGTTTTTGTTAATTCCTGCTGAAGGCAACTTGAATTCTTCTCTTAGAAAATTAACTAAATCTTAGCAGCTAAAATATTTTTAAATACATGGAATAAAGAAAAGCACATCCATTCTTGACATTTTGGTGAATAAACTAACAGCTTTATTAATGAAGGCAAACATCAGATAATTGTATGAATATTATATATAAAAAAGAAATCCAAACTAACAGCATTGTATTTCAAAAGTACTGTACTTCTGTTTCTTTTAAAGAGACTTGTCATCTGTTTTATAAAACAAACAAAACGGGTACTCTTCTCCTAAAAAATTCTGAAAAAATGAAATAATCAATTTTAAGCTGATGAATGGAACACACCTTTCTTTAAATGCAGACTA